GAAGGTGTTTGTATTATATGTTCATGTCAAGTAAAATTTCATCTTACACGTGTTCGTCAACATTTTTCGTTAAGTAACTATTACAAACATTTAAAGTCGAATAAATGTGCAATGATTAAGAAAAAAAAATGATTAATGTTAATAATGATAATCGATTAAATATAAATAGTGATCATGATTCATCCGATGATGAAATATCAGACGCTGCTGGTTCACCTCAACGAAAACGATTAAAAATATGAACAGTTTTTTTTATTATAAATGGTTGCAAAAAATTGTTTGTTTTAGTTTTGATTAGATTTTGTCAATTAACTTAAAACGTTTTTTTTTTTACTCATATGATATTTATAAATCTTTCACATCTTTTATGTATATGAATAATAATATTTGTAATAAAATTAGGATATATGAAAAGTTTATTCAATAAATAATTAATAAACTTAAACTTGATTTATAGAGAGATTATATACCATCCTATTTCAACGAACTACAGGGATTTTTATGTTTTGTTCTAGACTAATTTCTCTATTCCATGATAAACATCATCAATTGATGATTTTTTTCCCTGTGTTCAGTTGATTTTTCTTTTCTTACAATCATTCGTGATACTTCGCGAAGACAATGGTCATCATATGGTTAACGAACTCCCAACGATCGACGGATAACGAAAAAAAAAAGTTGTGTCTACCAAATTTATATATGTTTCTAGGGAATGTGAATTAATTTTGTCTTTTCTTCTTACGATCCAATTAATTCATCTTTTCTATTTTTCTCATCTCTCTTTTTTTGTCTTCAGATAAACATATCAATATAAATATACACGTAACTGTACAATCTCTCTCACATTCGTTATTTACTATTAAACTAAATTTATACAAAATTAAATTTCGTTTTTTTAAAAAGAAAACAAATTATTATATTATTTTTTTTCTACGAAGGTAATACATAATGTTTAAATCATTTCCACCTCTTGATTTACCTGATGATGTTTTGTCATTCGAAGGAGAAAAGTTTTTTGAGTTGATTCAACAGAAATGTGGTCAAGTCTTTAAAGAATTAATGGAAATACTTTCAATCAATACAGTATATAAACTGCTTTTGGTTGAAGATGATATTCTACCTGTTTTCCAGAAAAAATATCGAGAATTAGAGAAAGTAACACAACGAGCATGTCTTCATCTTGATGATGGGACAATTATGCTCAAGCCTGGTTTGCCTATGGATTTCGATCGTTTTATCCGATCTCTTCATGATATAAACGATAAACAAAAACAACAGAAGGAAATAGTGAAACAAGCTGAAGATATTATTTCTTTATTTAAGAATTTAGTAAAGTCATATCAATTCAATGAAAGTGATGATACA